TAGGTTAGATGTTTTTGCTTTATTTTATATTTTGTTTTATTTTTCGTGATTCTTATATTTTCTGTTAAATTGCGTACAAATTTGCTTGCTTCAGATTATTTTGTAAAATGTGGCTGTTGTTGTTCACAAAATTAACACTCGCTAGAACATTTATGTTCATTTCAAATCGTAAAGCATAATACTACGTTCACATATGTACATACATATGTGTATGTGAATGATTGAGGTGAGCAAACAACAACACGCGCCGTTAAGCACCACTCACTTGATAAGACAGAGTGCAGCACAATAACTTGCACAACTTCAATCAGAACACTCAAGCACAATGCAATACAAAGTCACACAGACAGACACAGCAAGCGTAAACTAAATGCCCGCGGCACTGTTTACATTTGACGGGTTTTGTTGTTGTTGAAATTCAAAAAGCACAAAAACAAAAAACCACAAATACTGTTAAATTGCTGTGTGTTTATTTTGTTGTTGTTGTTGCGCGCGGATGCTGACACAATTGTGGCTTGACTTCCGGTCGGCGTTCTTTACTTTTCTGTTTTATTTTTAGTTTTAGATTTCTAACACACTTTGAATTTTTCAATGTTTCGTAAGTGCCGTTAGAAATACATGCGGACACAACGTTGGCCACCGAAGAACTAAAAGTGATTATTTTGCGCTGAGCACATTTGGCCGTTAGGATGCTGCGAAGTTACTCATACGTCCTGTACGCCATACAACGGTGTGAGTTAGGATGGTAGATAGTGTTGCCACAGCGCTGTACAAAGTTGATTACGAGTTCGATAGTATTATCGATTACGGGCATGCTGATTAAAGCAAAATAACTGTATAAAATCAAGTCAAAATAAAAAAAATTAGAAAGGAAAATATGAACGCATAAATGACATCAAAATAAAAGATATAAAATGAAAATTCAGGCGCAGCTTTGTAAAGAAAATTCAATTTAAATACAATAATTTAAAAATATTGATAAATTTAGTTGAAAAGTAATAAAAATTAGTGTAATAAATCAAAAACGAAGAAAAACATAAAAAACAATGCAATAAGTGATGAAAAAAGATAAGATAAATAAAAAATTAAGCTTTACAAACTTTACAAATAATATAAAAAAATAACACTTGAGCGTAATATTATTTTATTTTTAGATTAAATTTATTTCTATAATCTTAAAAAAAATTACTAATTGATTAAATATTTATTTATTTATTTTTAGAACTTATTGCCTTACATTTTTATACATATTTATTTATTTTGAGCTTATTCCTACATATATTGATTTTAATGTTTTAAAACTATTTTTTTATTCTTTATTTTCGAAAACTTTCCGCTTTTGCACTAAAAACGGTTACAGTCAACATTAAAAAAATTTTAGTAACAAGAGCTATAAATTATTATTATTTTTTAATCAATGTTTATCGCCTAACTCCTTGCCGCTCTGATCTTGCGCCCACTCTTTTGGGTGTTTCCACTTGCGATGCGTGTATAAATTGGAATTGCTTTTAAAACGTTTGTCACAGTAGTTGCAGGTGTAGAGATCTTCCCCGGTATGGGTGGTCATGTGCTCCTGAAAAAAAGAAATTGAAAATGGCAAAAAGTTTAAAAGTAATAGCATACTGACCCGCAACCCCCGCTTTGTGCTGAAGTTGCGCGCACACACCTGACAAACATGTGGCTCTGAAAAACAAAGAAATAAAATAAAAATAAAAAAACGCAATAAGTGATGAGAAAAGATAAGATAAATAAACCAAAAAACCGGCAAAAAATAATTGGTATTTAAATAAATGAATGGGACGAATGAAATTTATTTATGTTTTTTTTTTTTTCAATATATATTTATCACCTAACTCCTTGCCGCTCGCATCTTGCGCCCACTCTGTTGGGTGTTTCCACTTGCGATGCGTGTATAAATTGGAATTGCTTTTAAAACGTTTGTCGCAGTAGTTGCAGGTGTAGAGATCTTCCCCGGTGTGAGTGGCCATGTGCTCCTAAAAAAAAAATATAAAAAAAAAATTAAAAAAAAAGAAATTTAAAAAGTAAAGAAAAATGGCAAAAAGTTTAAAAGTAATAGCATACTGACCCGCAACCGCCGCGTTGAGCTAAAGTTGCGCGCACACACCTGACAAACATTTAGCTGCTTCTCAATGGCATGGCACAGACGCTTGTACTCTGAAAAACAAAGCAGAACAAAAAAAAAACGCAGTAAAAAAAGCAAAAAAATTTTGGTATTTAAATAAATGAATGATAAATGAATGTTACAATCAACGTTAAAAGAATATTTGTATCAAGAGCTATAATTTATTATTTTTTGTTCAAACAATGTTTATCACTTAACTCCTTACCGCTTTGATCTTGCGCCCACTCTGTTGGGTGTTTCCACTTGCGATGCGCGTATAAATTGGATGAGCACTTAAAACGTTTGTCACAGTAGTTGCAACCGTAGAGATCTTCCCCGGTGTGGGTGGCCATGTGCTCCTAAAACAAGAAATTAAAGAAATAAATTTAAAAAGTAATGAAAAATGGCAAAAAGTTTAAAAGTAATAGTATACTGACCCGCAAGCGCCGCGTTGTGCTGAAGTTGCGCGCACACACCTGACATACATGTGCCTGCTGCTCAATGCCGTGGCACAGACGCTTGTGTTCGTTCAGTGCTACACGCGTCGCCTCTTTCGTATCACACAATTGACAGGTGTACATGCTCGTTGGGTCCGTATGTCGGATCATGTGCACACGCAAGCTAGATTTGTTCGCTAGCCATTTATCGCACTCGGTACACTGAACGCCTTGACCGCGCCGCTTGGCGCTTGTGGACTCGCGCCGCGCGCCGTGTTGCGCCAAGTGACGCACATAGCACTGCTTGCCGCTCACTTCTTGCCCGCAGTGTTTGCATACAAATAACTTGCTGTTGTCGTGTACACGCTTCATATGCTCTTGCAGGCGCACGGCATTCGCAAAGCTGCAAAATTAATAAGTGAAATCTAATATTAAGACCCGCGCTATAAAGTAGTATTGCAATGTACCTCTTCGCGCAGATCGCGCACTGCTGCTGTTCCGTATCCTGTGCGTCGTTCATATGCTTGCGCGCATGTTGCTGCAGAAACCGCACTTTAGCAAAACGCGCATCGCATATTGCGCACACGTGCGGCAGCTCTGTTGCTTTCGGATGCTTCAGCAGCATATGATTGCGCAGGCAAAGGCGGTCAGCGAAGTTCATGTCGCAGTCGGTGCAGCTTTAAAAAAATTAAAAATGCTGAGTTTCAAGACATTATATTGGCATTTTTGCCACTTACAAAAAGTATGTGGGATTACGATGTACATTTATGTGATCTAACAACATAAAGCGCTTATAAAGACGCTTCTCACAGCAAACTACATAACCGTTGGTATTATGTAGCCGCTTGTAGTGCACTTTAAGTGATTTAAAGCATTTCGCTTCAAATTCGCACACTTCACATATCAGCTGCAAATGCTTGGCAATCAATTTGTCCTCCGCGGCCTGACTTTCGGCATCTACGAAAAAGTTGTCGCATTATTGTATATATGTACATATGTACATCTGCTAAGAAAAATCAGAAAATAGTGCGGCTTACTGTCACGCCGTGGGCTTCCATTTTTCGATGCAATTATAATGCTTTCTGTAACAGATAGTGTGTTTGTGTCGCGCTCTGCTTCAGTATTTGTATGTGTTAGGTTTTGTTGCAGTGTTGTGTCTTGCATATCAGTCTTATTGAGTTGCGGATGCGTATGCTGTCTGTTTTTTACATTGTTAGCTTGCTCTTCCAACGCCAGTGTCGCCATTGTGGTGGCACCATTTCTTACTTCTACAAATGCTGGTTGTTGCTCGAGTTGTGTTTCTGCTTCGCTTTGTACTTTGAAACTCCCCTTCGGACTGGTTTTTATATTTTCGTGTGTCTTCAAGCTTACATCCTTGCGGTTTAGGGGAACAGTCCTGTTTTGTGTAGCTTTATGCATAACACTATCATTCGCAGAGCAATTTTCTGTTGCATACTTTTCGAATGAGCACTTAAGCGCTGTATCTTGCTGCGTGTCCGCCGCCTGTCGCTCAGCTATCAGCAAGCAAAATTTGCGAAAATTGTCTACGCTGGCCCAGCAATTCACACATATAGCATCGTTACTAGTAAGCTTGAAATATTTCAACATTAAACAAGGTACTTCACTTCCATTCAGTCAAAATTTACAACTTACCAACAATCCCATAAATTTGTGCACCGTAGCCAAAATGTCCGCCGAAGTCTTACTAACGTCATCGCACAAGGGTATTACTATTTTATCTTGATATAAACACAAGCTGCAATGCGTTAAGTCCGTTTGCATTTTACAAATTCCTCTCTTAAAAGTGCAAAAAATATTTAATACACACCATTTGCGTCCACTATAAAATAAACACAATTTACAATTTAGCTTGTCAGCTGCTAAACCGGTCAGCTGCTCACCGGTTTGCGGACTGTCAAGCTGGTAAACAAAAAAAAAAACAGCTGTTAGGTGAAAAATCGAGAGGAGTCAACTTTTTTAGGATGTTCCGCAATGTTGTGATTGGCATATCCGGTGGTGTCGATAGCGCCATTTCGGCGTTGCTACTGAAGCAAAAAGGTTAGTGCTACAGTTTTCAATATAAAAGAATGCTAGTAAAGCTGTGACTTATAATAAATAAAGGCTACAATGTGATTGGCGCTTTCATGAAAAATTGGGATGAATTTGATGAAATGGGCGCTTGTAGTGGTGAGCAGGACTACCGTGACGCGGAGTATACATGCCAAAAGCTTGACATTGAACTACATACGGTGAATTATGTTAAGGAATATTGGAACTCGGTGTTCAGGTGTGACTACTATGTGCTACACTAACATTTGCCGTCTTTAATAAACAATATACATAAATAATAAATTGCCATCTACAGCTCTTTCCTGGAAGATTATCAGAATGGACTGACGCCAAATCCCGATATACTTTGTAACAAGTATATAAAATTCGACTTATTCTATAAATATGCCACAGAGCAGCTGCAATGCGATGCCATTGCTACGGGCCATTATGCAAAAACAAGTTTTGGTAACCTTCTGCAGCACTACAACGCTAACGGTGGTATGTACGTTACTTCATTATGTTGAAAATGTGCTCAAGCAAATAGTTTCCCTAAAACATAGACGTGCATTTGCTCATACCACGGGATACGTTCAAGGATCAAACTTTTTTTCTCTCTGGCATACAGCGACACACGCTCAGTCGCACCATGTTCCCGCTGGGTGACGCGTTGAAACAAGAAATCAAAGCACTAGCGCGTGAATGCGGCTTAGAGCGACTGGCTCAAAAGAAGGAAAGCACCGGCATTTGTTTTGTGGGAAATCGCGATTTCAAACACTTTATTAAGGAGGTAAAACTTTGCAGCACATTTTCCTGCTGAATAATATCATGTAGTAGTCTTACAGTACATACAACCGCGCACTGGGCATTTTGTCGATATAGACAATGGAAAAATTGTGGGCACACATGAAGGCATACACACGTGGACCATTGGGCAACGTTGTCGTTTGGCCTCGTACCTGCGTCCATATTTTGTTGCGCAAAAAGATGTCGCCAATAATATTATCTACGTGGCTTCGGGTCATGAGCATCCCGCGTTATACAGCGATGTCATACACGCAGGTGCCCCAAATTGGCTGTGCAACGACCCCTTAAGCGCTGGTGCTGACGTTGCTGGTCAGCAGTTGCGTTGCCGCTTCCGCTTCCAACACACAAAACCTCTAGTTGATTGCGTGGTTGAAAATTCAGCCACCGAGACTGCCGGCGTGACAATAACTCTAGATAAGCCATTGCGTGCGCTTACGCCAGGGCAATATGCGGTTTTCTATAGCGAAACGACTTGTTTGGGTTCAGCGCGCATCGTGAGTGCCTGCCGAAGAGCGGAGGAGAGGTTGGCTGAAGTGGAAATACTGAAACAGAGTTGACAAATAAATAAATAAATAAATATTTATCTTATGCCACTAATAATGTAAAAAAAAAAATTGAAAAAGACGTAACTTCGTTCATTTTCTTTCTATTTAATCTGGACTTTTGTAGTATTATTTTAATGCACGTTTTTGTAAAGGTTTGCATTTAAAATTTCATTTTTTTTTTTTTTTTTGATTCAATGCGTTAACGGCATTGACCAATTACAAAGTCATCGTTGTGCTATTGTTTACAAATATAACTAGAAATCGAATATTAACAATCTTATCAGGTTATAAAACGGTTAAATATTGGTTACATTTCTTATAAATAAAACGTGTCTATATTATTAATTAACTTAACTGCTTATAAACTAAACTTAAAAGACAAATTTACTAAGCCAAAAGCACAGTGAGCGCATCTAAAAATTTCGCCATATCATTTTGTCTAATTTGTATTAGCGAGGTCTCGAAGAAATCCTGTAAAATAACTGCATTACATTTGCCAGCGGCCTGTTCAAACGCTTTGCCAAAGAAGTTTTTCGGTGAATCTTCACGCACCGGTGGTATACCCACCAATAGGCACAGGCCACGTTCCAAATCCACCGGACAACTGGCGATTAGCGGCAATTCAGGCGCTTGCCGACTGCGCGATACCGCGACGTGACCGTGTAACATAAACTTTGCCAGCAAAGTCAAACCATACGGGTAGGAGAAATATGTATTTTCTTCATTTAAAATGTAGTAGAAGAATGTGCCTGTAGACAGCACTTGATGCGCCTCTAAGCTGCTTTGTACTTGTTTGAATATGGACGATAGTAAGAGTTTGGCATTTTCGATGCCTTGCAACATAATGTCACGATGATTGCGCGATAAGCTATCCAACGCTTCCAAAAAGCAATCCTCTGGTGTTTTATCCTTTTTCACCGATTCCAAAATGGCTAGCATGCCATATACGTAATCGGCCGCCGAATATCGATTTCGATAGCCATAATTGAGCGTGAATGAACCATATACTATATCCGGAATGTTATATTTTTCCGCCAGTTTTTCCAACATTTTATAGAACTCCTGACGCAACACCAAATCCATTGCGCTGAACATCTGTCTCGCTTGCACTAATGGCAAACCCATTTCGACCAGCAACTCATGCAGACGCTTCTCGCCGCGCAAAGTCCACAAACGCAATTTGCACGCACAATACATGGAGTAACTAAAAATATAAAATGTCAGTTAAATTAGTAAACGAAAAAATTTGATCTACACACCGCATTGACTCCACCACACTCCAGTGTCGGTACAACACTAAATGCAAGTCATTTTCAAAATTTATCTTCGAAGCGCTCATATTGCTCTGATCGTTTGTTTTATTTGTTAAACGCGATACATGCGACTGCACATTCTCAATTTCCAGCGTATATGCGCTACTCTCTATTTTGCCCAAAATCAATTGCTCTGTGAGACCCACAATGGCCCACCACAACAAATCCATATTATCCTTGGATAGTTTCCAAGCTAATTCAAATATGTTTAACGCCGTCGAACGCCCATAAAAACCGTATTGTGTATATTCGAACATTATACGATCACGTTCATTCTCCCATGTACGACGTTGACGTTGCTTTATAATACGCTTCTCGTGACGTTCAAGGCGACTCAGCTTCTGTGCGGGTGGTCGATCAACTTTTTCACCGTTTTCTTCATCAGAACCGCCGGCACCACTATCATGGCCTGCATCGTCATCACCGTCATTATTACTGTCCTCATCTTCTGATTCACAAAATATGGATTCGAATGTGGGTATATTCTCTTCCAGAGCCGGATCACCTAATATGCACACCTTCAAAAAATATGTATTATAATTTATTAAAGAAGTGACATTTGTATATATTTTATGTATATCCCAAACATAGTATGTAATATAGCCCACCTGTCGGTCACTATAAATGTTGCACACATCCAACGGCCGATGCGCATCGCAAATAAAAAACGTTACGTCCTCTTCGGGTTGCAGCAATTCCACAACGTCTACACAACCGCCGCAATTCACTAGCAGCACGTACTTTACATCACCCTGATGTTCGTTGTAAGCGCGTTGCAATCCGGCCAAACCCATTATTGGTACCACCGAATATAGCATGTGGTCATATTTGAAGAGGGACTGCAAAATCTTACTAGCACATATAGCATCGATATCATAATTGACAATTATAAGCAGGCGTTTGCCCACTAGTCGATTGTAGAAATCCTGTCTGAGGTCTTGTATAAACATTGCAATTTTTTATTATTTGTGTACACTAAATAATTTCTTTCGTTTTTTTTCTTTTTAAATATGCTGTGCCTGGCAGCTGCTCGCGATCACTACTTAAGCTCTACATAATTATTGACCGTTTCACGCTAAATAATATTTATATTCCTATTTATTTCTTCAATCCACGCGTTAAACTGCTGTTAGTATTGTAATCCTATTTTTTTATTTGTTCGTTATATCGTTATTTCAGCAGCGAAATAAAGTTTGCAAAATCTCCAATGATCGTCCTGTTCACTTTCCCATGTTGTTTTAAAAAGCGGGAAACTCTTGTTCGTGAGGTATGTTCAATTTGAACATTGTTTAAACAGAGTTGCTTTTGAAATGAAAACAAATGTAACAAAAAAAATATATATATAATTTCAAAGCATAAAAATAAACTTTTAAGAATTAAAAAAGAAGTTTAAGTGATAGAGCAAAAACAAAAATTAATATATTATATTTTTTATGTTGCATACACAACCAAAAATTAAAAAAGGTGAAAGATTGATCCTAAGAGAAGGAACGTAGTGACATTGCATATTGGCAAATTTAAATTTTCAAGTTTAATTTATGAATATTTATTATAATTTAAATAAAATCATTTAATTATTTATATTAATTTTTTTTAATTAATATATAAATGAAGACACTTCAACGATATACTGTATAACAGCAAATGTTTTATTTAAAACTAAGATATACGACTTGTCACTTTTTTAGCACTAAAATCTATAGCGAAATTCTAATCGACAAACGCAATTGAAAATACTAACTATTATATTCCCTTGCCCACCTACAGTTCCTCGAAGAAAGCCACACGCGCTTTAGTCGAACCTGATTTTAATTTTTTCAACGTTGAGTATTTCGTTTCGCCTGCCTTGATAAGCGCATCACTAAGTATATCAAAATTACTTTGATTTTCCTCGATTTTCAACAATTCAATTTGTGAACGTAATGTTTGCAACTGATTTTCCATTTGTTTGGATTTCTTTAAATACTCTGAGCGACAATTTGCGATTTGCTCCATTTCAGCATCGGTGAGTATGAATTCCTTTATTTCACAATCATCGATTAACTCGGAGCAGAGGTCGTTTTTGGCAACGCTAAGATCATTGTGAGATGTCGTCAAATCGACGCCGCCAGCCGTTTCCATATCAATAGTTGAATTGCTGTTGGTCAACGAAGGTGTACTAACAGCCGTATTTGTAGCCGATACAACTACGGTATTCCCTGAAACGGCCACTAAACTATCGGTGGATGTTTTGCGTCCATGATTGATAAAATTAAGCAGACGCGCAGTGGCTTCACGTTCGGCTAATTGTGCGCATTGTAGCTCTTTTCTCAGCTTTTCCGCCTCTGCCTCTCGTTTATCTTTTTCGACCGTTAATTGATGTACATAAAAGTCCGCATCACGTATCTTTTTCTCCAAATCCATTTTCTCATGTTCGATTTTCATTTGTCGCTCACGGAGACGATCCATTTCCGTTTTGAAGTGGTGTGCTTTAAATTCGGTCAGTTGCATTTGCTCCTCATTCACGCGACTTTTCTCAAAGTAAAGCTCCTTTGTCTCCTCGGAACGCCGCTAGGATCACAAAAATAAAATAAATAAGTTATTTTATTATATTTAAATAATATAATGCAACTGCACTTACCAACGCATCACTAGCCATGTGCATCTCTTCCTGTAAATGATCATAACGCTTTTGCAGTTCATACCGCTCCCGTTCCGCCTTTTCGCGTAGCTTCTTCTCGCGCAAAAACTTGGCGCGTTCTTGTTGACGCCTCTGTTTCTCCTCTTTTGCTTGAGCTTTCATTTGCTGTATTTCCATAGTATCCGGCTTACGACGTCGCATATAAAGATCATGATTGCCTTTACACAAATCTAAAATCTAACGAAAAATAATATATAACCACTAATTACGTACGTTGACGAACATGCATACCATTTTATTAATATGCAAATCTTGTGAGTAGAAAATAAAATTAGAAACTTTTGTGTCCACTAGACGTATGGTAAATTTTTTATCGTCGAAGCTCACATGTCTTATTTCGTTCCATTGAAACGTAGTACGTGGTGAGAGCTTATTATTTTCTTCATAAATATTGAGTCCAATTGCGGTAACGCCCAGCCATAATTTGGTTTTATTTTTATTCTGTGAAAAATATTGAGTTGTTTTCGAATTCATCTTAATTTCAAAACAGCTGAGCCACACTTACAGTAATAGGAAAATAGTTTACACCATACATATCTAAATCTTGTGCAATCTTCAAGTATTCCATTTCAACTTCGTCACGAGTCATCGGTTCATGATCCATATACCTATAGAATAATTTTCTGGGGTAAACTTTGCATCGTATAATTCCTAGTATACCATATACTGACCATGTCTTAATGCGTTCCTCCCACATTTCCGGCGTCATTTGATACTGGTCGGTAACTTTTTTTGGCAACAAGTCTGCACTCGCTAACATACCATCCTTATAGGTTTCATAGTCGTAAGGACCATACTGAACGTGCACAGCATATGATGCCAACAATACTGATGCTTCCGGCCGACAATATATATCCATAGAAAGTATACTTTGTTTAACTTGTAGAAAAAACAAATGCTGTGTGATTTCTTGTATTAGCTCTTCACTAACATTCTCCGGAAAATATTTTGCATAGAAATTGAAAACGTAAAACCCATTAGGTTGCACCTGTATGCGTTGATCTTTTACTTTCTTGTCCATCTTTAGCCAGGATACATGTCCACGCGTATCCACATACTGCAAGCCAAAATACCATGATTCACGCAAGCCTATGGTGCGACAAACCAAATCAAAAAGTTCCTGTCCCGTTTCGCGATACCCCAAATTGAATTCTAATTCGGAATCGAAGGTTACCACCTTCACTGGTAGCGAGCGATTTTTCTTCAACCGAAATGGACTCATTGTTATGCAGACATTAGTGCATATATTTATTCCTTGTTTCCAATGTCTCCGAGTGCACTTTGTTATTGTTTTGTTATGTTGTTCAAATTTGTTGCTACATATTTTTTTGAAAATTAAATGGTTAAATGGTCAAAATTTGTTTGTTAAATATTCATCCCTAATTTGGCACTTCTTAAGGCACATAAAATTTACAGCACACTGTGCCTGACAGCCCTCAGCTGCCAATCTCTTTTATAGTTTAAATATAGTTTGTATGATCTTTTTATTACAAAATATCATTTTTTGTTACAGCGCGATCACTAAAAGTGCAAATTGATAAAAAGAAATGAAATGAAAAGTGAAAGAGAGCGAACTGTCAAATGACTCAAAACGTAAAACATCAGATTGTTGTTGCATGAATGGAGCATAAATAGTTGTCGAGTGCGCACGCACTGAATGTACTAGTGTTTCAGATATTCACAAACAAAAATAATTTATTATTTTAAGACGTTCATAAACAAATATTTGGCTTTTAACATGATTCAAATTATTTTTACAGAGTTGACGTGCACCATCTGCTTTAATAAGAACATAAGCTGTTGTCAATTACTAACCAACATATTGCTTTCACAGTTCGATGACTTACGCATTAATTTTCTGTATTGAGTATGGATTTACATTTGTATGTACGATTGGAACATGAACTAAATAGTCGTTTCTAACGGAAACAGTTACTTAACTTATACGTTATTCTATCATATATCATCTTACATTTTTTAAGTTGTTATGGTAAATTAAAGTATACATAGAAGCCTGTTGCTTTAGCTATTTATAAATTTGCTTTTGTTTACTGGTACAATTTGCTTTTTTGCACATTCGTTTTTTCATGACTAACCTAATTTATTTTTTCATAAACACTCTAAACAACACATCTTTTTAGACGTTCATAGTGCAATTCATACAATAACTTATTTTTAATATAGTAGAATGGGTTCTCAGCTTCGTTGAGCTCGGGTGCATAAGGATGGTGCAAATGTATTTGTTGCTGCTGTTCGTCTGCTGTCTGAGGTTGCTTGTTATGCAAATGCATATTTAAAGCACTGTTATTGATGTAATTGTTATTGTATAGTTGAGACAAATCAACTTGTTTGGTGGGGTCATTAAAATGCAATTGCTGAATTGCCTGCTGGGGCTCATCCAAATTTGTCAAATGCAGCTGATTGATACGTTTAGAGAGTGGTGTCGAATCACAGATGTCATCTTCACGACTTCTTTTTCTGCATAGAAAACGAAATTTGTATTGTGTTATTGGTACTACTCTAAACTAATTACCTTTTGTCGATTAAACCTGACATATTGTCAGAGATATTTTTATATTTTATTTAATACTCTGTATTTACGTTTTCTTTCTTTTATTGTCGCAGTAGCGAATCGGAGTAAAAGTGGGATCCACTTGATTGTGTTCGCAACTAGTAAATAATTAACAGGGTTGCATGGGAACGGCATGTACATATTTCAAAATACATAGCTCTTTAAAAATTAGAGATTAATGATGAATAAAAAATCGTATTAAAGCTGGGTGTATATAAATATGTTTGTATATACATATATTGTATTTGTATCGCCACATATTAATATCTGACAGTTCAGTGAAATAATTTAAGTAGAACAAAAATAACTAAAATACTCTTAAACAAAAATTCAAACGCGATTTTATTTTATTTTGAGTGATATATTTTGTCGTGTCAGTTTTTAACATTGTTTGTTTATTGCTTAAAGTTTGCTTATTTTGAACATATATGTTATTTTACTCTACTTACTACCGCAATCATGCAACCGTACAACTCGTCATAGGAGAACACAGAAGAAGAAGCAGATTGTGGAAGTAGACGTGAATAAGAAGTGGACGAAATTATTTCATAGAGCCCAGCCCCAGTTAAAAATTTCTGATTTTAACAAAAAAATATGTAAGTAAATTGTTAAGATTTGTGAATTTGCAAATATTTGATTTATATTCGACGTGAGGATGTGAAAATTGTGGTTTTTTGTGCATTATATGTATGAAAATATACGAAACAAAAGTCGTGTGAAAAGAGAAAATTCTTAAGTGTGAAAAGTGACGGTGCTGTGTGTGACACAGGGTGCAGAACGACGACGACAATGACGGCGTACGAACAAACGAACGATATTAGGCAGCAGCGGCGTTGGCGATGGAAGAACGCCTAGCTGAATTATGAGGCGTCGTTGCAAGAACGAAAGGAATGCCATTAAAAAGGAGAACTAAAATCTCAACAAACACACGCACTTATTGCGACATTCCTAGCATAAAAGCCGATTATGACCCATTCTAATAAGCCAAGAAATCAAGAAACGCATAGCCGATTTTTAGATATCTGTATATACGGATGTGTTGGCAAGTGTGTGTCGCAATAAGATGTGTGCTTTAAATTTTTTTTTTAGACAACATATTAAATTTTGTTGATTACTTTCACGTTTTGGCATTACAAAAAAGTTCCGTGCTGAATTCCAAAAAACAAGTTTTAGTTTGTAGCAGCAACAAAAGACTTTATAGATAAAGTGCATCAGCGCTTCGTTGCGGTCGATTGCGCTGTTGGCGACTTGTATTTTCACTATCGCAGATGAGACATGTATAATATTTTAGCAAGTGTGTTTTAGGAAGTTATAAAGGGCGCGGCGAAGTAAAGTACAATAGCGTTTTTATAGATAATTTAAAAGCCATTATTTTAGCAGACATGAACGCTAACTAGCAAATTTTTCTTATCAATATTCAAAGCTTTTTGAGTCATAGCTCTTGTGAAGAGGCTAGTCGCAGCGCAGTTCATAAATTGAAAGCAGCGATACGACATCGTCGCTTGTCATATAAGCGCAGCACTCACGCGCGCACACAAACAACCACACAAACATGAATATATTCGGTTTTTGTAAGTTGGCAGTTGACTGTCGTACGGTACGTGTATATTTAAATTTCCTTAATGAAACTGCAGCCAAGTATGATTATGTGAATGCTTAGTGTTTTTAACGGTCGCATAAATGAAGAGAATGTCCAACGAACATTCGCCCCGCTAATACCAGTGTCAGCAGACAATACTTAACGCTATGAAAGCATAAAATTATTATAAGTGTCGATATATCGAGGAAGCGGAGAAAAGGCATGCACACAATCGTGCCTAGCTATGACTAAATACATACATACATATATGTATAATAATATATTTATTCGCTTCTGATGCTAGACGACGAATTATGGAATGAAGGAACTGACAATTGGTAGTGTGTTACGAATCAACAAAGTTATCTACAACTTAATATGGTCAATGATTAATACGAATTGACAGCCATTGATATCTTTTAAAGCTACGTAATTGACAACTAACGTCAAAAAACATAACGGACAACGTTAAACAATGAAGAATATTTTGGATGTATCATTGTTTTTTTAATAGGAAGTATGTGTCGATTTTTATTCTAGTTGACATCTATATGTTACAAAGACAGCATTGGGCCAGTAAAAAAAGTGTCAACATTTGCCAGTTTTGGTTAAGAAATGTACGGCGCGGCACATGAACATTGAAATTTTTTGTCAAACCGTTGAAAAATTGAAAATGGCGAACAAAGCCCACCAGGAAATATTTTTGCTTGGCAGCCTTTGTGTAATCCTCCCCCCACATTTCACATTAAAATTTCTTCCCTTATTACTAATCAGCTAGTAGATATGCTATTTTATTCAACGCAGGGAGTGTCCTTTTCGTCATAGGTGTTGATCAACCCACATATCTAACTCTAACAGCGTTACATTAGTTTTGCTGGAAGTATGCGTTTATTTATTTAATTTTTGCTTTATATAAATGTATCCGTACATATGTACGCTCTTACCAATCGAAAAATGTTTATTCTAAATCAATCTAATACAATATTTTTTAACAGCACTCGATTGTTTCATGTTATGCCGATTATCAACATCTGATTAGGTTTTATTGTTGGCAAAAATATTTAGTCACAGATAGTTTTTGAAAGTTAAGCAAAAAAGTTAAAACATTAATGATTTACAATTATTTATTGCATACATTTAGGGAGCAACTAAAAGTCAAATGTAGCAACTTGTGAGTCCTTCGTATTACATGCTTTTCAAGTTGCCCATGTTATGTTGTGTGAAAAAAGTGTTAAAAATATAAAAACTTGCTTTAATTTTAATTCCAAATAAACACAATTTGTTGCTTGCAGTGCCAATTTAGACGACAGCTGCGCCAAAACGCAAAGAAACAAGCTACACAAACATGCAGACTATCAAGTGTGTTGTTGTCGGCGATGGTGCCGTGGGTAAGACTTGTTTACTCATCTCTTACACGACCAATAAATTTCCCTCGGAGTATGTGCCCACCGTATTCGATAATTATGCGGTGACAGTTATGATCGGCGGCGAGCCATACACTCTGGGCCTATTCGATACGGCCGGACAGGAGGATTACGATCGCTTGCGTCCGCTGTCTTATCCACAAACAGACGTTTTTCTTGTCTGCTTCTCAGTAGTCAGTCCCAGTTCATTTGAGAATGTAAAGGAGAAGGTTAGTGCACCTACATACATATGTACATATGCAAAATATGATAATTGAAAAAAAAAAATGGTTTTGTTATTACACTGCTTAGTGGGTACCGGAAATCACGCATCATTGTCAAAAAACACCCTTCCTATTGGTTGGCACACAAATCGATTTGCGTGACGAGAGCAGCACTTTAGAGAAATTGGCAAAGAACAAACAAAAGCCCATTACCATGGAACAAGGCGAGAAGCTGGCCAAGGAATTGAAAGCGGTCAAATATGTGGAATGTTCCGCTTTAACACAGGTTAGTTAGTTAATTATTTGCTAGTACATTTTAAGTGTTTTATCACAACACCTCCTCTTTTTGAATAACAGAAAGGTTTGAAGAACGTTTTCGATGAGGCCATCTTAGCAGCGTTGGAGCCACCAGAACAATCCAAGAAAAAGAAGTGCAAATTCTTATAATTTTATGTATTTATTTATAAACGACATTTCAAACAAATAGCAAAAGCAAGAGAACTAACAATAACAACAAAATAAGCTTGCAAACGCGTATGAATTCATTCTATGCACATGAAAAAAATAAAAAAATATATAAGTTTTGTAAAACGATTTGTCGAAAAGAGTCAACAGCACTCATTGTAGTGTGGAAACGGTAAATTCGAGTGGCGGGATTGGCGTGTGGCAACAATACAAATGTATTGTTAGCGTCGAGCGCAAAAAAAAAAAAGTATTTGTATTTTGGGAATGATAGGGTCTGTCTATTTTGTACAAGTTGGTGGTTATATGAATAATATGGCAACACATACACACACAAATAGCAATAAATAACATTTTTCTAAAACAAAATAAAACAAGAACAACACTTAATATTGAAGTACGGCAGTATAAAATTAACGCGTTCGTTTTGGATATTTTCAAATTACCGCATAAATATGTATACATACATATGGCAATATAAAAAATTATATATATTTAAAAATATAAAATTATTTATGTCCGCAGCATGCCGGTGAAGATACAGTGCATTAAAACAAGCAAAAACGGCAAATTCAAAATAAAAATAAGCAAGTTACTGCAATTTTTCAAAATAAATTAAATAATTTAAGTAAAAGTGAACGCAAACACGTACACACAAAAAGCTAAGCGTTGATGGAGTATAAAACATTTAAAGTAACCACAAAATACTTACAATAAAAAACATTAAAGCAAAAAAATGATTGTAGTTCGACATTGAAAAATGAACTAATGATGCATTTTTTAATATTTTTATATATATACATTATCAACTTTTACATTACTTTAGTTATAGTCATTATAATTATTGATTTCAGATATTAAATAAAAAATGTAACAACAACAATAAAATTACAACATAAAAATAAAGACCTTCTTTTTTTTTATTATTACGTGGTTGTTTATAACATTATATAAAACATCCTACACCGAACTGGCAATTTAGCAGGGAATGTGAAATGTGTTTTTGATTACGTTAGACTTTGCAGAGCTCATCAGGGGTGGGTAGTGTAATCAGACTCAAAAGAATTTTGTTGCTACAAAACCCTATAAATGCCATATGAGTGTGTGAAGCTGTCGTTTGTACTATCTACACTTCATATGTTTAAATTGTAGATTTCCATGTATGAAAAAATCTATTTTTTTTTTTTTTTGCCAACTTTATAAACTTTATTTTAATTTTACAAATCTAAAATTTATTGCGCCACTTCAAACGGCGATTGCGCACCACGCCATTTGGACGCCTGCACCCATTTGCATTTGATACCCGCCTCTGTAACTGCATCCAGCTTACTTACACCCAACGCTGCTTTGCCTTGTATACTTACCGCATCGTAGTCAAAGCGCATGCAGCTGCGGTCGTGCTTTATTTGCTCAATAGCATTCCATGCAATCATAACGCCATTGTCCGAACAATATTTCTTCGACGGTCGGTATGCGCGGCAATCGTAGTGCTCTGCTAAATGTGCAAGATCATTGAAAATGTAATCGTTATTGGCCACACCGCCAGACACAACGAGCGAACGTGGCGCGTCACCAAACCAAGGCAGTGTAAATTCCAGTGCGCGTTGCGTACGATTCATTAAATGACGACTTACTGCCGCTAGCAAACCGGCGCAGAAGTCGTGGTAATTGTAGATAATACCGTCCGGTGGTGTGCCTGTGGAGTAGTAAATAATTTATTCAAGAAAAATACATTTTTGTTCGAATTCACCTTCCTGACGCTCAGCCGTTCGTATATTGCGAAAAGCATTATTCTTTATGCCCGCAAAGCTGAAGTTGCAATTACGTTCACGTGCCAATGGTAAAGGGAACTCAAAGCGGGTGGGGTTTTTCGCGTCCTTCGCGGCGTCCTCCACTGCTTGACCGCCATTCCAGTAACGATATTTCGATATAAGGAACAAACGCAAGCGTCGCGCTATTTTATCGAACGCTTCGCCTGGCGCGTCGTCAAGCGATTCTCCGAGTAGCAGGAATTCTGTAGCGCTCCGTACAAACACCAATTGCGAATGTCCACCGCTTATAAGTAGACACAGAAATGGAAATGGTATGTTTTGTTCCATACGCGCTTGTAAAGCATGTGCTTCCATATGATGTACCGGCACCAATGGTTTCTTGTATTTCCGTGCTATGTGTTTAGCAAAGCGCGCACCGACAAGCAAACTGAGCGGAAGACCTGTGAACATACGCAGTTAATTGCTACTGTTCAAATTCTTAAAAGTCAACTTAATTACAAACCAGGTCTTGTTGTAACACCAACAGCATCTAACATGTCAGGTGTCATCTTTGCCTCCTCCATGCAATGCTCGAAAACTTCCGCAATTTTGGCACGATGCAAATCCTGTGCGCGTGGGGGTATGATGCCACCATACCTATGCATATGTATCAATACAGACAGTAAACCTTCTAAATACGCTTTATATATATATAAAATTTTTTACCTAGTATGAAATTTTTGCTGTGAGTTCAAGACATTGCCAAGCACTTCGCCGTTTTCATTCAGCAGCGCAATGCCTGTGTCATCGCATGAAGTTTCGACACCGAGTACACTGAGGTAACGTGTTTTAGCAGATTTACAAGCAAAATTCTTAAAAGTTCTTAATGTCACTGTTATTAAGGTAAACATTTTAGTAATTTTAGTAATAATTTACGACATCCTTGAAAAACACTTTACACACAATAACCGCAATTCACCAATTTCACCAAACAGCTGATCGCCAAACAAACAAAACAAAGCAACAAAACTGGTGTGCAACGTCAATTGTATATACAAAAAACATTTATTTTCTTAATAAATTTATTTATTTAAATTTGAAAAACATAAAGTCAATTCGGCACAGGTACATGGCCAATAAAAATACCATTAAATTATGTCTAGTGTTCATAATATATGCGATAGTAGACTGCTTTTGAGCGGAAAAAGCTGTAACTGTTGCTGAATTTCAGCAGATATACTCCTTCCGTTGGATACAAATGCGATCCGACATAAACTTCGTTATAACAATCGCGACGATATAGCGGCACTATTATCGATACGTATGGCTTCGAGGTGCCATCGTCCAGCGATTCATGGTCTATATTTACAGAGCCACTTTCAAGATCTTCTGCGGTTGACTGGAGATCATCGTCGAGATCACAATCGCCGTTTTCGCTGTCTGTCTCGTGAACAACTACTTCAGTTGTTGTTGGTTTGCTCCATTCAAAAAATAGACCGAAACCAATATCGTAATTATCACTAGCAAATTCCCAGAATATACTTTTGCCATTTGCCATTGTTGGTACCCGTACCTGTGATAAAGAAATATCAATTTACTATGGGGTCAGTAAGTGCTTGAGACAAATTAGGCTGCTTACCGTTACAATTTCGCCCGGATCTAAATGTAGCACACCATCTCCGTCACTTTGCGATACGTCGGCCTTAAATGCCTCGATATCTGGCCGCGTCCACATATTAGCTGGTTGTAATGTAATGAATTCATCTAGACTGTTATCGTCTTGCTGCTGTTCTTCATTCTTACAGTCATCAAATCCACTTGCTGTGTCACCCGTTTCATTTTGAAGTAGCTTCGCGCCTTCTTCCTGCAATTCAATGTCAGATTTATTATGCATATGCAGTTGTTGCATATACTGATGGTAATGCTCGTCCTGCAGCTGACGTATGAGTACGCCCTGTTGTTCTGGATTGCCAGGAAACTGAATTTCAGCGTAGCTCTTTAAAATATATAAATTAAATATTAAGTTAATATCTTTTATATTTTAATCATATTACTTAGTATTTACCTTAAACTGCTGAAAAGTTTGTCTATTTAACGCATCTTTTAGTTTCCGTCTTTGCAATTCTTCTTTGTAGCCCTCTTCTAGCAACTCTTTTTGTTCACGTTCACGCTTTTCTTTCTCCAACTTATCTTCCTCCATACGACGCAACTCTTGCTTCAACGTTTCATCGCGATTTTGTTTAACTGCTTCCACGTAAGGCCGAAATGCGGTACACATATTATCCAACAAGTCGATGAATCCCTCCATTGCCTGTTCCCGGTTGATATCCCCCAGGAGCTGCCAGTGCATACGCCTATCTCGACCAATGACGTCCAGCACTCCTAACTCGGGCGCACTGCTAGCATCGAAAGGACCAATTGTAGCTTGTTGCTTAAAAGCTATCAATTTTAAATTATCCTCATATGACAGGTGTATTGCCTTGCCTGAATTCTCTGAAACGAAATGTTAGCAAACATGTACATATAAGCAGCTGTCCGAGTGACCGTTTATTACCCCTTTTTCCCATAATCTCACATCTTATCAACTTACGTTTGTAGAAACTCAGCGCCAATCGATATAGTTCTGGCAATGTGAATCCCCATTTTTCTAACGCAGCGGCTTGTTGAATGCTGTCCATTTTATGTAAACTTCTATACGAATGCCTTTTTCGCAAAATATATTTTTATTTGTAATTACGCTGACATTGTAATCAAGAAATTTGGCTTTTCCAGGTTCCAGCGTATACAAAGAATTGTTCAGAATAAGCGCAAAGGGCGACTATGAAATGTCAAAACGAAAACTCCATTCACAATAATTTTCCCGTCATGCCAAATTATTATTTTTAGTTGTTAATCAAAAAGTTTTCATTATATACTTATTAAAAATAATAATTTTTTAGTACTAAATGTCAAATTTCGTACAATATTTAAGATCTGACTAATTGAAAATTTTATCAAAACCACAAAGCTATAGTATGTTAACTGTTTAATGTCACTTTGTCAGCAGGAAAGAGAAATGGCAACCCATACACAGGTACTGCCTGCTTTGAGTGGCTCATTCATTCGTAATCTGTTCTCCGTTTGGAATTGTTGTGTTTTACATAGTGCGTGTAATTTGGTTGTAAATAAAGAGAGAGACGAAGAAGAAGATAGTGTGTGGTGCAATTCTGAGAATTTGAAAATTTCAGTACAATTAATATACGCAAAACTGTCCAAAAACACAAAATTTGGTTAAAAAGTTGCATGCAATGAAGAAATATGAAATGTGTGACTTTAATTAATTCATAATGTTGTGAAAAATATAAAATTTTAATATAAACAATATTAAATTTTCCCAGAAAGGTCAATTTCCAAGTAAACGAATTTCCGAGAATCGGAATTCGATCTGCACTGTTGTACATAGTATTGTGTGTGCGTACATACATGCGCCAGAAGGACGCAGTGTAGATCACATACGTAGAGAAACAGAGGAGGGGAAGTGTGTGATTGTGGTGCAAGTGCAAGAAGGTACTGCATAGCGTGCATATTTCCGCGAATTGGACAAATCGCTGCCCCTGCATTAAAACCGCAAAAAGGTGAAACAATTTCGTTGCTTTCGGGCACTTCATACATATATTGGACAGTGGCAAAATATCGTACAGTAGTATATGCAACATGAGTGAATTATTGCGATACGTTAGCATCGCAACCATTGTGTTGTGTTTTGCAAACTTAGCGAACGCATTCCATGAGGATGATGTAGGTGAGACAAGACCATCGCATGTTGATGTTAATGTGGGCGGTAGTGCAAATATATCGTGTCTCATAAATCCTAACCGATTTGATGATCCTTGCAAATTAACATTCATAAATCAAATTACCGACCAACACGTACCTGATAAGGACATATTGGTAGTGAATAGTAGCTACATTGTTTATATGTTTCACAGTGAACGAGAGCAGTCGTTACGACTCCTTTGTAAATGTGATGGAGATGCGATCGCAGAGTCTACCATTTACGTGGGTACCCCGCCGCGCGATGTTAGTCAATTCAATTGTCGCAGTTTTGATTTCGAATATATGGTTTGTAACTTCACACAACCGGAGAATGCAGTACTTACACAATACAATCTCACGTACTACATAAATTCACCTGATTACGAAACGCCGGCCTACTGTAATTTTGATATGAAACCATTAGTGGTTTGTAACATTACCGTAGAGCATTCTTATCGACCACAAGTTGAGGAATATCACTTTAAAGTTCACAGTATTAATTCTTTAGGCAGCTATAAGCAAGAATTTACCATAAATAACTTGAATGTGATGGTGCCAGCTCGACCAGGTCAAGATTTTCATATTATAAAATTAACCACTGATAGTATGGATGCAATTTGGAGCATGCCAAAATATGACTCATACACACCTAACAAACACCGCGGCTTACAGTGGGAAGTACTCTTGCAGCCAGATAGTTTCACAGTAAAAAATATCAGTTCACAAGTGCGGGTGATGCGTGTTGATCGCGGTTGTAAATTGTCATTAACGGAGCTGCCATATGCCCACTACTCTTATGAGTTGCGATTACGAGTTAAAGTGCGAACGGCCGTTGCCGGTGAGGATATGTGGAGTCAAACGTTTAAGTGTCGTTTCCGTACTAAACCTCGTATGCCAGATAGGCCACCACGCACCGATAATGGCGGTTTTTATATAAATCCACTGGAAACCGAAGTACGGCTGTATTGGGAGCAATTAGAGAAATGGGAGGAGAATGGCGACAATTTTACGTACATAATACGCGCTTTGGAAAAGCGCGACAATGACCAAACGAGGTAAACTTGTATTTATTGCACGTTTCTTATTTCCTTTTGTTAACCACTTAAGTGACTGTAAGTATTTATATAGAAAGTAAGTATTTTATATAGAAATTGTAACACCTACAATTAAAACTTCACATTAACTGTAAAGTAATTCTCAACAGTTGATAAGAAAGTAAATAAACAGATTGTCATACTGACGTTTAAGTACATTCAATCATACATTATTACGCTAGTTGCGAGCCTTTTCTTATCAGTTAATGTAAATAGATTAAACGTGCTTAATGGATGAGAAATTGTTTCTACATATTGATTGTTTTTGTTCCTTATAACAGCGGAAAAGGAAATATTCAAATCAAAATTAGTTCCTTTACTCTTAGAGTAGATTGCATTAAAGATTTGATTATTTCACTCAAATTGATAAGCAGTAAACAATTAATGTATTTGAAAAGCATTGAGCAATTAAAGTATTTTTCTCATATCAGTAGGTCAAAGGCATTGCATGAGATATTTCTGGGAATATGCTTTTTTAATAATATAATATTAGAACTTGACTAATACAACAAAAAAGCTCGTTTCGGCTTAAAATATAATATTTTCTGCAATGTATAATTATAAGTTATACATGTCTGTATTTGTGTATGTGCTGATGAAAAGAAGTCTAAATAAAAAAATAACCACAATTAAAGAGAAAACAAAATACTTGCTGGCTAAGCAATGTGCCAAACTGTCTGTGCTTCCCAAGAATTAATTGTTTAAGTGTTACAAAATATATGTGCTTATGTGTTTTGTATGTACTTATAGTTGCTTAATTTTGCGCTCGGCTGTTTTACTCATTTTGTTTTGTAATGGTGTATTTGATTTCTATTTAAATTTGCTAATTGTCTGCGTAACAATCGTTGTAGATATGGGGCTTCAAGCGCTAAACACTAGTAATATCTATTTTGCTGCATAAACAAAAATTTTATAATCATATACTCGTATGTGCACGTTTTTAAGAAAGAATGATGTTTATGTTTAGATATATGTGTAGATAATTTTTTTTATAATTTTGCATAACAAACGATTCAAAGGAACATTGAAAATTGTTATTAACCCGAACCGAAATATTCTATCATTCTTGGGTCATGAGGAATTTTTGTGTATTTCAAGAAATTTGTTCACATTTCAATTTTCTAAAAAAAAAAATGTTTATGAAAACCAAAATTTTGTTTTAATTTAAACCGAAATAAAATACAAAATATGCGCTAAATTGTTTACAGAGCACTGCTGCCACGACAACAAGAGGCAAATTTTGCTATTTTCGAATGGCACAATGATTTGCACTATACTTTCGAGATAAGCAGTCGCAATCATATGGGGGAATCCTCTACAGCTAATGTCATTACCATATACCCACAGGCGAGCAGATTAGCCAAGCACTATACACCACACTCCATACATAATGTCTATCATGAGACAAATCGTTCCTATACGCTAACCTGGTTGCCACCACAAGCGCAGGAAGGTCTACAAAATTATACGGTGTATTGGTGTTATTCAAAACTGGCCATGCCAACAGATTGCAGAGTAAGTGCCATTAATAAAATAAACAAAAATTAAATTTCCATAACCTCTATTTTACTCCAAACGAATAGGGTTCAATACACTTCCGTCAAGTGAGCAGCAAAACGCAACGCTTTGCTACGGAACCACAATCGGCCGAACATGATCACTCGTTAACGCTAGCTGTATCCGCTAATTATATTGATTATAATACCGGCATGCATTGGACGTCTTGCAGTGTAGATGTGAATGCCGATTTTGAACCAATGGAACCTGAAATCTTATTCATCTCCGCCACGGAATTGCGCGTGCAGTGGAGCTCGAAGACAGTTTGCCCATCAATTTTAAGCGGCTACAATCTAACCTATTGCGAGGTGGCGAATACACCAGATACCGACAGCATAACACCTGCTACTGTAGAGAGTGTTCTGTTTGAGCCATTTAGCAGCGCCAAGACTGTGCCAGCTGAAAGGGCTGCTTGTGTTAGCGACCCGACTATAATAACAATCGATAAGAATTGGAATAAGTTTAATATAACAGGCTTAAAACCCTTTACGCTGTATCGTTTGGAAATGTTTATGTTCTCCAACGTAAAGGCAGGCAAACCGAATGACCAACTACTGGTGCGTACATTCGAAGCGGCACCATCGCCACCACGGCAATTACAAGTGACCGAGCTAACAAATAAAAGTGCAAAAATCACTTGGCTGGCGCCTAGTGAAGCCAACGGTTATATACGTCAGTATATAGTCAAGCTAAACAATAAGGAATTTATAGTTAATGCCTCGCGCTTGGATCACGCCGACAAGATCAGTTTCGTTTTGGAGAATCTCACCAGTTTTACCTCATATAAAGTGTTTGTTATCGCGGTCACAAGGTACAAGTCCAATCACAGCAATGATATTCACTTCACAACATATATGAGCGGTAAGTTTACACTATAGAATATTTCTTTGATGAAATTAAAATTTAATTGATTCCAATTAAGTTTTTAAATATGCATAATTTTATTTTATTTCAACAAAAAGGAGAAAAAAATGTTATCTAAAATTTTTTAAAAATTGTATCTAAATCTTAGGTATTTAAATTAATTTTTTATTGTTTTAAATTTTTTATTTTGTCTTGTTTTTTAGGTAATATTTTTGTTTGCGTATATTTTGTATAGCTAAAAACTTTTTATACATATTTAATTTTTTAATTTTTACTCAAAAAATATAATATCTATCACCATCTCCCTGTTCACCATTTGAATAATACCCTCTTTCACTAGCCCCCTCTAAAATGGCTTACTCCGAAACAATAACACGTAACAATAAAGTGCAGTTGAAGTGGTTGCGGCCCAGCCAGCCTGGCGGTCGCGTGGATTACTATGAGGTCGCCGTAACCGTGCTGCGCGGTGATTATGTCGAACGTCGTCGCATAGCCGTTGTATTCGGTAATAGTTGCGTGCTGCGTGTGCCCGCCTGCCCCGATCCGGACTATCAAACCAATGTAGAAGTGCGTGCGATCAATGCGGGCTTGATCAAGAATAACGAAGTGAATCCGAAGGATGTGATTGCATACCAAACCGAATTCGATCCCGATGCAAATAATTACGAATACAACGATGAATTTGCATGTGTCGGTACTGACAATGCAGCGGATGTGGAACGGGAAAAGGCTGCACTGATGCAATATCACAAAAAAGACAATTATTTGTTGTATAAATCGGACTGGTATCAGCTGACAAGTTTTGGTTGTTCACAGAGACAGCTAGGAAAAATTACCGTTATCACCTTAATGATTGTCTGCACATCGCTGATGCTGATGGCGCTCATGTTCTTCGCAACGAAAAAATGGAAAATGATGAGTGATATACAATGCACGCTGCCCGCTGCGCTGGTGGACGCCTACCTCACGAAAGAGCGGAATGGCGGTGGCGGCGACGGTTACAACAGAAACATAGTCAACGGTAGTGGTATTGGTGCCGTCAACGTTCAGCCGCTCGCCGACAGCAACGAACGATTGCACATCGAGGAGCATCACCTGTTAAGCAGACAACAGAATGACTTGGGTTACATGAGTGGAGGTCTGCATTTCGGACGTAGTATTAGCGCGCTGGCGGAAACACAGACTTCAGAAAATGAAAGTGGCGAGGAGGATTTGGCCTATCACAAGCGCGATTACTTGAACTCTGAAAGTTCGGCTGACTCCCTGATAGACAGCACAAGTAGTAGTGGTGGCGCTAACAGCGAACTGGGCGCACAGGATGCAGTACCGTTACAGCGCATAGCCGAGGAGCCTACTGGCTACGTGCAAGCTGCGCAAGTTCAAACCGGTGGTGTGCTTGGCGGTTACGTGATGGCGGACAACTTGCATGGATGGATGCAGCCAAAGGCGCCATTACCAGCAGACACCACAGTAACTGCACAACCCAGCACGCACGGCTATGTGCAAGCGAATACGTTAATTGCGGCAGCAACGGAAAAGAGCACTGCGACACCAAGCAACGATTTCAGCGGTTACATTAGCCCGACCGCGCTGCCACAGTGGCTAACGCAAAACTCACTAGCAACAACAGTAGCGGCACAGAGTGCAAATGAATCCGTCGGCCATAGTGGCTACATAAAGGCCACAGCTTTAAACACGCCCAGCGCTTGGGCGCAACCTCCACAAGTAGGCAGAAGCGGCATTGAAGCAGGTTCGAAGAACGATTATATAAATGCAAGTGATTTGCGCGCAGCACCTGCAATGTGGACGGAGCAGAAACAGCAGCCGAAAGCCACAGCTGGCAATAATAACGGTTATATAACTGTTGATAGTCTTGAGGCACATAAGCCAAAGGCTATGGGTGCAGCAACAACACTACCGCCAGCAATCTCAGTTAACACCAACACAAGTGCCGATGATAAAGCACAAACGTCTGGAGCGGCTGCTGGCAGCCAATCCAACAGCGCATACGTGCAACCAAGCACTTTGCAAGCATTACTCCTTAACACGCCGAGCGCCAGGGACTCGCACTCGCCGTTACACAATGCCAATATAACGAATTTCAGCGGTTACACAACATTGGATGCGCTGGGCAAACTAACGCCGACACAGGGCGCGCCTACAGCACACAGGCCAGAGCAAACTGATACTAAACCGCGTCTCATGGGCTATGTGACACAACGTGAAATGAATGAATTCGGTCAGCAGCATAGGCATTAGAAGGTTAACAAATGCAGTCAAATGCATGTGCAGCATAAAATATGTAAACAACAACAAAATACTGTGTTTGTAGCTCTACGAAATTCGATTTTGTATTTTGCTATACAAATAATGCAGGTAAAATATATATATATACATATGCAGTGGCGTGTGTTGAACTCTAACCTTAAACGTTTGGGAGGGCAGCAAAAACATTTTCTGGCAGTTGAAGTGACGCTGTAATGCATTTCAATCCGATTTGCTTACAGTTTTATGATTTAGTTCATTTAAAAGTTCACTGTAACCTTTTTAATGTTTTATTTTTAAATTATTAAAGGCTAAATGCTTACTCGATAGTATTAATTTGACATTATGGTTAAATACTTGGCAATCATTTTAAGTTTTAAGTGTAAAATAGTTTTAAAAACGCATATTTTTTTAATTTTTTGAACATATTAATGTAGGGCGATTAATTTTATTCATATGATTTTTTTTTTTCAAATGTAACCTTAAAATATGATTTTGATTTTTCGAAGCAATTATTCAGCGTTTACGTCCAATTTTAACAAAAAATCTATATTCAATTTTAAATTTTTTTTTCATAAACTTTCATAAAATCTGAGATTATCACTATACACGTACAAATATATAAAGTGCTTAAGAATAATGTACGCGTACCTAAGTATAAAAGCAAATAAGTATCATGAAAGCGAAAAAAATATACAAATATTAATTTGCAAAGCATAGTTTATACCAATAATATACTATAGCATAACAAGCAAATGTAATAAATTAATGCAAACTAAATGAAAATTTATGTTTGTAAAGCGAGTTTTTTACGCTTTCTAGTGTTCCGTCGTTTTTTGAAAAAATTTGTATTTTTTTGTCTTTTCTTAATTTTTAAATTTTGTTTCTCTTTTAAATTAACTTTTAACTTTTTCTTTTTTTATTTTAATTTTTTTTTCTTATTTTTTTTTTTTTCTTATTTTACTTTTTCTCCTTTTTTTTTGTAGATTTTTCAGATAATACGGCTTAAAAATAAATAATGTGTAATATTGTTTTTTTCTTGTTTTTATAATTTTTTTTTTCTTATAATACGGGTGAAAAGTAAATAATGTGTAATCAAATTTTTAATAGTAGATCTATAAACGCATGTATACACATATGTACATACAAATGTATGTATATAAACATTTATGCGATAAATGCTCCTAAAATTTTAATCAGCTTTATAGTTGTAAACAAGACTTATAATAACAAATTATGTAAAAATTTATAACTTAATATTTTTATTTTCGTTTTAAACAAATTTTTTTGTTTAATTTTTCAGTTTGTTTTGAGTTATATGATACGAAGCATAACATATTTATTGATTTTCAATAATTAGTGTTTATGCGAATTAAACAGATGATAATACTTACTTTTTCTATTTAATGATATAGTATG